AAGCTTGTTGACACAGCAAAATGCAATTAACCGTGGAACAGACTGACGGATAATGAACTCCTGAACTAAAAGACTTTACTTTATAACAAATCAGGGATGCCTTATAAGGTGGACGGAATAATTTTTTCCAGGAAAATGTAAGCTGAATATAAATGAATTTTGGCTATTAAATGCCAACAGAAATATATAAAAATTAGAACCAAAGACAGAACACATTTAGGCACAGGCTGCTGACAAAGCGAAGAATAATAATAGGCACAGGAGACGGACGAACAGGGAGCGCGGGTCACTCACACAGGCACAGCACATGATGACGATGGCAAAGGTCTCCAGGATGCCCGCCGTGCCCACGATCCAGGTGAGTCGCAGAAAGAGGATGACGCCCAGAATGTTCTGCAGGCAGGGGAGGTAGACTCCGATGAAGGTGCCCATCTGCGGGCTCTGTAAGAGAGGCAGAGAGAAGAAACACCCCCTAAAATTCACAGGACCCTCCAGAAACCCCACAGAATAGAGAGCTTTGTCAGCTGATGCAAGCATCTTCGATTGTAACTATATAGTGCAGGGCTATTCAACATTATGCAAAAAGGGCAAGTGTGGGTGCAGGCTTTCATTGCAACCCAGCACTTACACACCTGATACTACTAATCAAGCTCATAAGCAAAAAGCCTGTCTTCATTAGAAAAAAGTTTCAAATTGGCTAGCTATTTTGCGGTTTTGAAACTAGCCCGATGTCGAATTAGCTGGCTATTTTGTAGATGCAAATAGTCTGCTAATTTGATCAGGAAATTTTCCCGATAAATCTTGGTCTAGTTTGCGAAATAGCCAGCTAATTCGTGAATTAGCCTGCTATTTGTGTTGCGTCTTTATTAGACCGCAATTTTCTCGATTCCATCACGTGCAGGAAAGCAAAATCTGAACTGCGCGCTCCATCTGGAAATGATGCAAAGACCGCATGCATCAACTTATGGCTAATTTCTCGAGCGGAGGGCTTTCAGGCTGATGGAGACGCAAATTCGTACTATCGGGCTAATTACCCTAAGCGCAAAATAGCTGGCTATTTTAACTTCATTCTGATGAAGACAAACCTAAAGACTCTTGGGCTTGATTAGTAGTATCAGGTGTGTAAGTGCTTGGTTGCAATGAAAGCCTACACCCACACTGACCTTTTCTGGGAAAGATTGAATAGCCCTGATATAGTGCATTGAAATATTTCCATAATTATGACTAAGGAAAAAGTAACTGTATGAAATGTACATAACATGTAGCAGTGTGGATTTCAACATATTCGCTTGATCTAAAGCTCCAAGATTAACACAACCGACTCATGTCATCCAAAAGGGACAAAGACTAATTGCGGGGTCTTAAAAGGTTAAAAAAAGTCAAACCACAGAGAATTTCACAGAAAAGCAAAAGAAGGTCCAAGTTAGGCCCAGTGTTTGCGGACCTGGGACTTGCGAGACAGGCTTAAGATCAATATCCCAGGTGAGAGTTTCACTGTAGTGCTACATTTTTGCATTCTAAGCGTTATTTGTCCCAGTGCCTCTTTATGTTATGAGTTAAAAGAGATGAGAGAATGAGTTCATGGATGAAGCTACAATTCGCAGTCAATGAAGGATCCTTTCAGAGCCAATCAGGACCGATTCCAGAAAGATAAAGGAAGAGGAGGGGACATAATTCATAGGTCTGGCCCTGGGTAAGTCACAGAAGTTCTGCCAGACTTTTTGTTTTTGTGATACCTCAAAGTCCCACCACTAGTAATATACTAGAGAGGCACTCAGTAAGTTGCATAGCCCTGCCAAAACTTTTTTTTTTTTTTTTTTTACATTTTATAACCTTTAAATTGAGATAATTTTTGTGGAGACCATGAAATGTAAAACCGAAAAATTTAGAAAAACAGCTGCTCAACTTCTGAAATCAACAGATAAATCTTTAACAAGAGGCAATCTCAAAAACTATTACTATTTTGTGAGAATACTAAATTAGACAGTTTTAGACATAGGACTGAATAGATTTTTAGCATAAACAGCCAGTTGGTACAACATTCTCAAAATATCATTGTCAAACTTCACTTCTATGTTTTTACAATGTTACGTCATAATAGTATGACTTAATGTCCAATAAAGTAAATCATTTCCAGAAATTAATCTTGCCAACCTCCGTATTAAATTTGGTCCCAAACGATTGAGCATTTTTTTGAAGTAATTTGTTCACAAACAACCAAACAAACTAACATACACAGTTACATAAGCCCAATCCAACTTTACTTTTTTTGAGGGCGGGGGCTGATAACTGGTATAAAATTATTACACAAAATGCGATAACAAATGTAGCAGTGCTGGCATGAGGTACATAGAAGAACCATACCAAGTAAAATCAGTCCACAGTTCCTAATGCTCTTTGCACCCAAAGTGAAAACCAATTATTAATATCATTATAATGAATAAACTTAAGCAATAAGAAATGATGCAAGTGCGCCTAACAAAAGGATTGACAACATCTTAACAGAACACACGTTAATCCATAACACTGTCTAAACTTCTTCTGCAGCATTCCCGTTCACTGATGACCAGGAACAGAAAAAAAAAAAAACCTGCAAGTGCCTTTCCCCACCCCACAAAGCTTATTCCGTTCTGCCATGAAGTAACTCAATATCTGTGCATTCATAAGAATATCTGCGCAGTGGCTCAATAACTGTACATGCATAAAATATCTGTGGTGCATGAATAATATCTGAGCATATACAGAATAGCAGGGGAGCGGTCCAATATCTGTGTGCATATACACTGACTGGACAGGAAAGTCACAAACTCTAATATTTTGTTCGACCGCCTTTAGCTATGTCCACGCCACACATTGGTTGTAGCATCGAATTGACAATCTGATGAAATCTTACACCATTTATTTGCAACCAAAGTTGCATGAATTTTTCCACCAAGATCTTGAGGACGGAAGAGTCAAACTACTGCGTAAAATCTTCTCCAGGACATCTCAAAGACTTTCAGTTTATCAAGGTCAGGACTCAGTGGTGGCCAATTCGTGTATGAAAATGATTTCTCATGCTCCCACGAACCACTCTTACACACTTTCAGTCTGATGAATCCTGGCATCCTCATACTAGAATATGCCTGTGCTGTGAGGGACTACAAATCAATAGATGGGATGACCTGGTCATTCAGTGCGTTTATGTTGTCCGCAGACTTCATTTTATGCCTGCATGACCTTCCTAAGCTTAGACCTGACCAACTGAAGCAATCAAAGTTCAAAGCACTTCCTCCATAGGCTTGTACAGTGGGCACTATGCATGACGAGTGCATCGATTAATGGGCTTCCGCTCTAGCCCTGACGTGCTCATCCAATTCTTAAGCTCCCTGGCAAATTGAAGTTGTTTCTTCCCCCGATCACCCTGACTAACAAGTGGCTTTCACGTGGCCAAGCAGCTGTTCAGTCAATCCTGTAAGTTTATGTTGCATTGTGTGTGTGGAAATGCTCCTACTTTCACATTAAGACACAGCCATGAGTTCTACAGTCAATTTTTTTGTGATCACTGATCACAGTTATTCACGATTTTCTTCCGACCCCTTTCTTCTGTGAAGTTGACGGTTCACCACTTTCTTTTCAGGGTTTAATAATGTGTTGGATAGTTCTTAACCCAATTCCAGTGATTTTATCAATATCCTTAGTTGTTTTCATCACTCAATGCAGGCCAGTAATTTGCCCCACTTGACACACAGTATTATCTTTTCCGCAACCATGGGATACGTTTTCTGACATGGTTGTTTAATAAATGAAAATTTACTTACTTAAATCCAGATGGTGACTATTTTGCCAGGCAGGATAGAATATCTATTAAATAGCAGTTTCGTGAAACCAGAAGGATCGGCCTTGGCCTGGGCAGCGTCCTTCATCGCTCAAACATCAGCATCGCTCTCGCTCAGTCCATCAACACACACCCTTCACACTTGCAAAAGCATGAGAAATGAAGAACGAAGCGTCGCCAGTCATCCGTCTCCAGTTACCTCTAACGCCGACCTCAAACAATTCCACCGCTGCAGAGTCACCAACCTGATCCATCTCTTGTTGCTGCATTTCACCCATCATTATGACAAGTTTAAGAGAAAAGTAAACAAACCCTCCCAAAAAAAAAAAAAAAAAAAAAAAACATGCATTGCCAATTCTTGGTCAAAGACAGAAGTAACCTGATGACCGATGACCACGTACGCGACACTTAGACTGCATCGATATGTCCGGTGATGAATGTTCCCGAGAAAGAGCCAACGATGCAAACAAAATCCTAAAGAAAACCCTTTGCTGCCGATGTTTACACAAAGGGATTTGGGACTGAATTTGAGAGAAGAGCATCTCTCCAAGGTGCATAAACGGCCTCCAGAATGTAGAACTGCTCACACGCAATAAATCCAAAAAACCAAGTATCTTGGCAGTAGCTGCACAACAAATACACTTCAAGTACATACCATGTCCTGAGAAGGTGAAGAATCTTCCATGGCTCGGACAGTGAGTGAAGCTGGCTCCAGCACAGCTGTGCACGGCCCTAATGCGTTAATTGACCCATGTGTTCAGTGAGCAGGGGCTTAAATAACCTGCAGTGGCCTCTTTGCCCTCTCCACTTCCCTAAAAATGTAATCCCTCCAATCACAGGGGCCTTCACAGACTGCATTCTAGGAACACTGCGTGCCTGAAAGTATGTGGGCATCTCACTCCAAAGTCCATCTATCCGTCCATTATCTGCATCGCTTCTTCTTCACTGGGGTTGCGGGAGAGCTGGAGCCTGCTTCAGCTGACTGTGGGTGAAAAACAGGAACCCGCCCAGGAAAGCTCGCCAATTCATCGCAAGGCACACACACACCTTTCACTCTCTCACTCACACCTATGGGCAATTAAGCATCTCTAATGAGCCTGACGTGCATGTCTGAGGACCGTGGGAGGTAACCTGGAGGAAACCCACGCGAACACAGGGAGAACATGAAAACTCCACACAGAGAGGCCCCAGGCTGGATTCAAACCCACAATCTGCTCGCTGTGAGGCAGCAGCGCTAACCACTGCGCCCCCGTGCCGCCCTCATTTCAAAATCCTCAGATTGACAGTTAATGTGGATTTGGTGTTCACTTTGCTACAGTAACAGCCTGGCCTCTTCAGGAAAGGCTTACGGCGAGGTGTTAAAACACTGCTGTACACTGTTCCAGAGGGAGAAAGGGGTGCTTCTCCATTCTAACCTGGACTGTCTGCTTCCTGACGCCCTCTTCGTTCTCGAACTCCTCATGCTCGATGACCCCCTGGGTGAGGTTAGTGTAATTGGCCAGTTTGTTGAGCAGCGAGGACACCATGGGATTGCTGTCCATCTCTTCCTGTGGACACAGAATTCACCCCCCCACCCTTAAAAGTCAACATCTAGGATACTGAACAACACAACACAACAAACAACATTCACGAAACATCCATTCTTTAGCCCTTGTTTGATTTTATAAACACGTCCTTCAAAGATGGCGAAAGGCATTTTAAAACTGCCAGTAAGAAGAGGATATAGTTAAAAACTTTCCCAAGATAAATTAACATAAGCATGGCACTTGAACCTAAGCAAAAAGGGATTTAATTTAGTGAGGACAATCAATATAAATTCCCTAAAATAAGCTTTGACAAAGGGACTTTCATAATGTCAAACCGTCCACTTCTTCTGAGTTTAAATTTCTCATTGCACATTTCTGATCAGTTGAAAAAAGAACAGTTCTAAACGAAAGTTAAAAAGCCAACATGCAACAAGACTGCCCAGCCCTCTCTGAGGATTCAATTAAATTCAATTCAATTTTATTTGTATCGCGCTTTTCACAGACAGACAGCCACAAAGGCGCTTTACTGTGAGAGATTAAATAAATAAAAGGGCAGTGCCCAGCCTATTCCCCACTATAGCGAATGATGAAAAAAAAACTCCCAGTAGGCAAAAAAATCCTCAAACAGTGGTGAGAAAAAACTCCTCAGTGGGAAGAAATCACAGGAGGAGCCCAGCTATAGTGGATCCCTACCCTGCTGGAAGATTCTGCTAAAACTTAAACAATAAACACCTCATTCAACAGCAAGAGATTTCATCAAGCTGTCAAGTGTCAAATCAGGTGTGCGTAAACATGGCCGACATGAGCAGGGAGGTACATCTCCAGGAACAGGATTGGCCGGCCTCAACCAACATCACAGGGAAATAAATAAACAATTTGACAAAGTAACACTGATTTCAGTACAACTTTGGGACAGAAATCTTAGAAGGTACCTCGAAGAGAGCCATGTTCTTCCCATCATACAGGTTCTCCTTATCGGTGTCCGTGTTGTTGATGAACGGCCTGCTTTCCTTCCGACGGCCATCTCCTGCAGACCAGAGAAACAAGCACAGTCAGGACACCACCACGAAAACACTCAAGGGTGGGTAAAATGGGAGGACGATTCCGGTCCTGAAGGGCCATCTCGTGCGTGTAGGCTTGAGTTTCCATTTACTACCAGCTGTAAATTAGTGATCTGGCAATATACACCTACGCTAATCACTGACAGATCACATTAAAATGATTCATGCAGCATGGAGACATGCAGAGTCATTACCATCACTCATGTAATTGCAAACCGTGGCAAAAAGATGGCGTGAACATTATGTTTGATTGAGTAATTAGGCCAGATGTTGGCAAGAAAACCATAAAGGAACATAAATGATCCTCACAGCCCATCTCAGTTTATGACCATGAAATCTTGTTATCACAATATAGCCTCTCGCTAAATATAGCCCAACGTGAAAAATGATTAACTGCAATCAGTGCACGTGTGAAATGACTGCAAAAGGACAGCGCCTTTGCGCACACAGATCATGACGGACTTTTCATCCCGCAGAGGTGGATATTGCCGGGATTAACACAAACAGCAAATTTCCAATAAACTACTGGTTGACCACAGGCAATAAAGTCATGTATATACTTCACCAAACAAACGCCATTTATGACCAACCAAAATTTTTCCCAGTTTTTTTCCCTCTTTCTATTAATAAAGACAATATTGAAATAAAACTCCAGTAATCTGCATGCAGAAACAGTGCTTTATCATTTCAGATCCCTAATCAGCCCTGTTAAAGGACGGACCCATTCAGAAGCTCTAATCTCATGGTCTCCCTCCTCACGTAGCCCAAAGATAAAACGGCAAATTAAAAATAACAGCAACCTTGACGTGACCACGCTGCCCGCAGACTCCACTTCAGGGGTATTCAAGCTTATCCAGAAACGGACTGTGTGGGTGAAAGCTTTCATTACAAACAATCAGTAACACAGCTGAATCTATTTTTCAAGGTCTTTAGCAAAGACTCCAGGGGTTGATTAGAGAAATCAGGTGTATAACTGCACAGCAGGATCTAAAGCCTGCACCCATAGAAGCCCTTTCAGGATAAGGCTGAATACCCCTGCTCTTGTCCAATCATATATTTCCATCACCTAACGTTCTACGCACCGACGGGCAATCCTTGACCCAGACAGAATGGAACATAAACGTGATGGATGACCAGAGGAAAAGGCCATTCAGCCTAAATGGCATCAAGCCACAGCTTATGGCTTATTGATCTAAAGACCATCAAGAGAGCAGAGAGCAGATCAACAGAAATACTGGCCTCCACATAGGACGAGAGGGTTCAAGACGAGAGTTAATTCAATTAAATAGAAATTTATTTTACCCATATATTGGAAGTGAAAAATTCACTGCCGTTCAGAATGCACGACAGCCAAGCTAATTTCTGGCACCTGACAAGGTTGACCGTGAACTTGAAAACGTCTCAAGGCAAATCATTTTCTTTTAAGGATACGGGATACTCTTGGATTTTAACGTTACATATTGCTAAATTTCTTCCTGCTATTAGCCAAACAAATTTCTCAAGACTGCAAAACTCCAAAATCCCCTTGCTGTCCTGACAACAGAAAGTGTCTATAACAAAAAAACTTCCTGAATTCTGGCTGTGGATAGTTCACCCGGCTGCAGGAGAACCATCCCAGGCAAGAAACCATGACCTGAGCTTCAGGAAGATTCCGCAGGCCCCCGGTTGTGTCACAGAGTAAATGTTTTCTTTTAAACCGTGGATAGCAAGGTATGTGTTGTCAATAAAGTTGCAAAACCGAATCGGTTAGAGGTGCAGGCGCGAGGCTCAGCTTATAAACCCATCCACAGTTGTTACTGTGCGAGTCTGGCTTCAGTTTCATAATTTAGGATCAAAGCCCACTTATTTTCAGCAGGCCAGCAATGTAGAGTATTGGCTAGAACACTGGGAGTGCAACCCAGGATGCTGGTTTGATTCCCCTAATGGGGCACTGCAGTACCCTTACATAAGATACACAGCCTAAAGGACTTCAGTACCTCTCATCGGTCTGCAGGCTATGATATTTCACACTTAATATAATCACAGGTACAAAAGGTCAAAGGCTACAGCGAGTGGTTCACTCAGAACTTCTCGGCAGATTCCGCTACCCTTCATCAAGCCTCGGATGTGTGACAGAAAGTAGATATGATGCTTCGCCTGACATTTTCTTTGCCGGAAGACCTATTTATGCAGTTTATTTTATTTATGCAAATCTGCACACTACATCGCCCCCTAAAAATGTAGGCAAAACTGACCTTCGCAAAATCTATGTGCAGTAACGCTTTTCGTGTCTTGACACGAGGCAACACCATGTCTTCACCAATTTGTCATCGAACCCAGCACTGCTGCCACTAGATGCCGGCATGTTTATCCAGAAAAAAAAAAAAAGTTCTGGCTAATGGCTTCCGCAGTCAAACATCCAAGGTCTGATGAGGAACGAATCGGGCGAGGTTTGCCGAGTGCGAGTGGTTTATACTCGCAGGTACAAACACGCAAAAATAAAGGCTGCAGGGGCTGGTATAAATAAAGAAAGGTACATATGCACAGAAGAGGCTACAGTGACTAGTTAACATCACAGGGACACCTGCACAACAGAGGCTACAGTGAGGGGTTTAAAAACACAGGTACATCAGCTCTTAACACCTAAGAGATGGGTTTAACAACCAGACACATTCATGAAACAATGCAAACACCACGGGCCAGATTCAGCCCAGCTGCAAACGATTTAACTCCGCACTTTGAATGATAAAATTAAGACTGAGTTACCGCAAGCACTCAGTAAAAAGAGTTAAGTGCTGGAGAGCATCTTCTCTGACTGACACTGGCGCTTTCAGCACAACCTTTAGGAAGTGAACGAGCCTCCAATTTAGACCGAGGTGAGGAACAAATAGAATTAGCCAAACTGTAGCTCTGTATGTCTGGTTTTGCAGTGCATGTGTAGTACAGAAAGAGGCCGGTTCTTCTGGTTGTTCCCAAGCGGATACTAAGAGAACGATCACTCTGTTTGGGATGAATACCTGGGATTCTCCACATTCCTTCTTAAGTCCACACACAGAACACACAGGGGGTTCCACCGGGCCCCACAGAAAAAGGAATTTCCCGAAAAAAAAATTCCTGCTTTGCCGATTACAGCTGAGAGTTTGACAGAGGGTGGACCGCGCAGTGTATACGAAAAATCTATAACTTCTTTCATATTGCTTTACCAATTCTAAACACGAGTGATCAGACAGATTAATTGCTGAATATTCTAATCCTGAACATTTCAAACTTCTGGGAGCTTAATTCAACTGAGTTCTGGAGCAGGACTCTTCAAAATGGGGTTAAACTGTAGAACAGATATAATATCATTGTACTAAAACTAAAGACAAGATTACATGAAACGTAGTCATAATCAATAAAGCAGCATCATTTCAGCATGCACAATGATGGTAACCGTGGACAGAAATTTTGATATAATGCTGAAAACCTCCTGTAAAACTAATGTTGAAAGCTGAAAAATGAACACTGGTTGCCTGTGGAGGCATTCAGATCACCAGGGTTTTACTGTACTGAATGTGACAGAACTGAATACAAAGTGCTGTTCAGTTCTACTAGTCAATAACTACTACAACAGGAAAAGACAGGAAAAAAACAAGCTAGCACCAAAGCCTTGTATCAAATGTGCAGGCTGGCAAGTTATAACTTCTCTGG